GGCAGAGGAGAGCCGCTTGCAGGAGTCAGAGCCACATGTCCTCCGTGTGTTAGGCTGTGGCTTAATTCAGGAAAATGTGAGCATCTGGGATTTCCAGAGCTGGAGGGATTGTCCACGCTCCCGGTTATCGAAGCCAAAGCACGTGGTCCGTGGCTTTCTGACAAACTCCTCTGGGTTTCGTTGAAAGGAGAGCCCTGGCTGCTCGCGGCGGGGAGGGGGGAAATGCCGCCTCTCTCAGCCCTGGGTGCTGCCCCTGGACGCTGCTGGCTGCAGCCTTTTGCAGCTCGTAGGAACCGGCAGCACCTGGCACTGCGTGGGACCCGGCCAGAGAGGTGACGTCAGGAGCATTTGAAAGGAAAGGAAAAAAAAGTCACGTTTAATTTTGATGACTCCGTTTTCAGAGGAAGTTGCAAAAAAGAAAAGATAAAAACAAAAACCACCCAAACCCCAAAATACCCAGAAGCAGAAGGGATGGTGGAAATGGAAGGGCAGGAGGATGCCCACGGCTGGCATCAGCAGCGGGAGGGCCAGCATGGCCACGGGCCAGCCCTCCGCGTGGCACACGGAGCGTATCGAGTGGAGCAGCGCAACGTCAGACGTAACAGGAGGAAACTGCAACGCGTCAGCAGCCCTTCTCCTGACGTGAGTCATGTTTTCACCTGAACAAAAGCACTCCCCAAGCTGGGTTTCCACTAACAGTTTCAATGGGACTATCCCACCGTGAAGGTTCTTGGAAACCAACGACTTCTGGAAAAACTCTTCAGTGGCCCGGCAGTAGTCAAATGTAGCCCACGGTAAGTTGTTCCCATTTCAGGCTTGTTTCCATTCTGACAGAAACTATTCCCCCACCCCCCGTTTTCAACTTGTTCTGCTCCTCCCTAGAGCTGCTGCTGTCCTTCCCTGGTGTGTGTGACCGAGCTGCTGCCCCGCGGGACGCGCTGCGCGCCCAGGGCACCCCTGTGAAATCGCCGCGAGCTGCCCAGGTCCTTTTCCCCGCTGCTCCTCTGCTGTGTGCTCCCACAACACAGCGCTTGCCTGCCACCACTGCCCTGGGCCTCAGATGAGCGGGAAGCTCTCGGTGGCCTGGCTTGGTTTTGCTTTTTTCCCAGTCGTGATGTGGAAATGCCCTTCCCCAAGTGAGGCGAAGGCATGTTGCCCCTTCCTGCAAGGGAAAGTCTGTATCTGGAAACAGAAAGCGTAGCTTGACCTTAGAAGAGGATGTCAGATGAGCAGACCAAATAAATAACACCACATCCTTTCTGTATTTACAAATTAAATAGAATAAATAATGTCTGTACACAATAGTGGCAGAACATGGACCGTAGCGTGGGCGGGGCTGCTGTGACTCACGCTAGGCTCATACAGCAGCTGCTGCACATGTCCTGCACCCCGTCAGAGGTAGCCAGCACCCCGGGCCTCTGTCCTAGGGGCTGAACGCTGCGAGGTCTCTGTAGGGTCAGGAAAGTCCCTCGCTGCCTCCAAGGGAGGCCAGCCAGCGTGGGAGCCCCACGCTCCCAGCAGCAGGATGGCTGATGTCAGGCTGTTCTTTGCTTTTGCTGTCTGTGTTGTGAAAGGTTTGGATGGCGTCAGCAGCGTGGACGTCAGCTGGAGGAGCCCAGCGCTCGCCTGGGACAGGGGGAAGTGGGGAGGGGAAGGGCAGGGCTAGTGCCAGCCCTGACCCCGAGGGTGACCCTGAGCCCAGGGGCTGCGTGCCCCGTGCTGAGCTGCTGGGGAGGGCAGGTGAGGCGGGATCGCCCTTTGGAAACATCCTGGGGTGTATCCTTGGGCACAGTGGTCAGAGGCGGGGTGGGGGTGAGCCCCTCCAGCGCAGCCCCTCGCCAGCTCTTGTCAGCTTTGCACCAGATCCTGGCTGGAGGGACGGCGCATGGCGCGCCAGGGGCTGGCCGCAGCGGTACCAGGGCCACAGCAGCCCCAGAATAGCTGAGCTGGTGCTTCTCGGGCGAGTCTTGGCTGGGGCACCGCCCAGCTCGATGTGTGAACATTCCGGGGTCGGCGGTAGCTTATCGGAGTAGCTGCTCTCCACGGGCAGTGGCTAGAAGAGGTAGTTGGGTCAGCGTGCGGGGCTGGCGGGCGCCCGCTCCCTGGCACGGGGACGGCTCACAGGCGGCTGTCCTTGCTGTCCCCGTTGAGCAGGCTCAGGGCGTTGATTTGCAGCGTGTGCCACTTATTGGTGCTGAGGCTGGAGATGAGGGGCAGCGTCTCCAGGATGTCAGTGTTGAAGATGCTCAGGTCAAAGGGAGCTTTCAGGAGCTCGGGGCTGGCTTTGGAGGCCAAGGGAGCACCTGGAGCCCCATAGCTCAGCAGAGTGGGGGCTCGGGGCCCCACCAGGCTGGAGAGGTCCCATGCAGTGGGCTCCCGAGGGGCGCCCCGTGGAGGAAGGTCCTGTGCGTGGCTGTGGGGATGCTCAGGAGAAGACTGCTTCAAATACCCTTTGGCCACAGCCAGCTCGGAGCACTCGATATCCAGCACAATGTTGGCGCTGCCCGGGCCCTGTGGGGATCCTGCACAGCCCGGGAAGGGCACCCGCTTGGCAGGGTCCTGCCTGGGCTCCACCATGCCCTTGGACTGCTGCAGGTACCCGCGGAACTCCGCGGCTTGCTGGCCGTCCTGGCTGGCAGCAGCGGGGAGGCCGAGCTCCCCTCCACAGGGCTGCCCGGCCGCCATGGGGCTGGTGGTCCAGCTGCCGGAGGAGCCCGTGGGGCCAGGGCAGGCGTTCTCCAAGCCCACGCCGCTGTCGTCGCCAGTGGGGAGCTGCCGCTTGTAGCCCTGGGGCTGGGGGCCGGAGGAGCAGCTCAGGTCGGAGGAGGAGGTGTGCAGGCAGATGCCGCTGTCGGTGCTGGTGCAGCTGCTGTCCCTGCTCCACACAGCCCCAGGCCCCAGCAGGCACAGCTGGTCCTCGGGCCACGCTGGGACCCTCCAGCCCTTCTCCGGGGGCAGCTGGGCTGTGCCGGTGCTGCCATGCGGGCCACTGTCCCGCTGGGGCTCCTTCTGGCACAGGAACAGTTGCTGGATGGGGTCTGTGTCCGGGCTGCCCGAGGACGAGGACTCCTGCTCCATCCAGAGCGAGCTCTGCTTTATGAAAGACTTCTGGGAGGGAGAGAAAAGAGGGGAGTGAGCCATGCTCTGTCCCTGCTCATTGCCTGCCTCTCCCAACAGGTGCCCAAGCCTGCACCCTCGCATGGGCCGCAAAGGGCACCGCGTGCCTGGCGGCCTTACCAGGACGGATGGCGGCCTCACGGGTTTCTTGACGTAGGTGCACACCAGCATTGCTCCCAGGAGGCCCAAGAGCAACAGGGTGACGAAGGAGGAGCTGACGATGCTCAGGACAAGCTCCGCGCTCCCTGCGAGAGAGGAACATTCCCAGGTGAGAGGGGAAAGGCAGAGTCCCCAGTGCACATGGCACAGAGGCCCTGCAGCAGGAGCAAGGAGCGGCTGCCCTGGTGCGGACCCTGTGCCCCAGGATCCGCATCACAT